AAGTGCTTTTCCCAGTGGTTCCATCGCATGCAGCGGTGTATTGACGTGAATGGACAATATTTTGAAAAGATATAATAAAACTAATAACTGGCTAATGTAATCAGTTTTTGATTTTCTAAGAACTTTCAGTTTGACCCTCGTATCGTTTTGAAATTAGTATTTTCACTACTACTTTATATAAGTTATAGTGTAAGATAGAAAAGTAGATTTATTGGGAGCAATCTTAAAAATTCTATTTTTTTTTTGATGTTCATTGGTTCACAAAAAATGATTTTATGTCTTACAGTCAATAAAAATAATATATCAGATATGGGGCAAGTTTGAAGTATTAAGTGAAAGTATGCACTTCTAGGACTACGATTAGGCATTATCTGACGTGTGCTTTAGATATTTCAACTGTAACTTAAAATAACGATAAGTATAAATAACGATAGTGTAAATAAGTAACTTAACCTCTATCTTAAAATAATTTAAATAATACGACATAACCTCAAAACATATTACACTATTACTCGATACTCCCAGCTTTTAAAAATATATTTAATGTCTTTCTTTGTTCTAGTTGCATAGACAAACAAAATAACATATGTTTCATCAAGTTACGTTTTATTCGATTTTACTAGTCCAAGCATGTTAGGAAGATGGCCATTGTTCTTTCAGTTTTTTAATATGTTAGTTAAAAGGAACGGAAATTACTGTCTTTGGTCTATTCGTTTCCTGCAAAAATCAACTTTTGCTAGAGTCGCTCCATATCTGATATATTATTTTTATTGGCTGTAAGAAATAAAATCATTTTTTGTGAACCAATGAACAAGAAAAAAAATAATAGAATTTTTAAGATTGCAATAACTCTTACTTTTCTATCTTACATAATTATTAAGATGCGTTCAAAAATAACATAATTTAAACTGCAACGCAGTTAGAATATAATAGACATAAAGAACAAAATAGACATATTTGAGACAGGATTATCTTTCTTTTCCCAGCTTTTAAAAATACATTGTTGGTATATAATAATTACATTCAACTTATACTACATTTTGGTGATAGTTCCATATCATGGTATCATGGTACCAGTATCCATGGTACAAGAACTTTTGTTTCGTAGTCCATTTTGCCCATTGTTCTTTGAAAAGTTTGAAACTTAGACATCAATACAAATACGAAAAAGTACAAATAGAATATGAGTTGTTTATTTATTGAGTTTTGAAAACTAATTTACTTTTAACTTGAAATAAAACCGGAAAGGTTGTAATCTAGTTTGATTTCGGGAACTTATGTTCCCATATACGTTCAATCTCCAAATATTCTAATGTTCCAAATCATATCCAGATATTGAACGCTTTTATACCGGTCATTAACAGTATCTTTAAATAGAATAACAATACAGAAAATAAAACACATTTTAGATTATATATTTATTGAAAAACGTATACATCAAAAAGATTTCGATGTAAAATTAAAAAAGAAATGTGTGCTATCTTTTTTTCTTGTGTGAAGTACTCTTGTCACTATGATACACATGTGCCTATGGTGCAGCGCTGCTAGCTGCGTTTGCTTGATAGTTTTTGTAAGACAACCAAATGTACTCATAAAAAGTCGAGAACGACACTCAATAGATACTTTATAAAAATCTATAATTGCTATGAGTGTGTTGTTCACATCTTTAATGCTAGTCCATGCTCTTTAGACTAGCCGAGCAGTACTTTGCGGCAGTACTGTGTCCGGTCAACTATTTCAAATTTTTATGCTAGTGGATTTACTTGCCGGTTGTTACTGATGCAATGAACAAAACAGTTCGATAAATAAGCTTCGAAAATACTCATCGAATTATTTATGCAAATCGACAAATATTAGCTTTTGCGCGAAAGCTAATAAAATTTAAATCTTTTTTCAGCAAAAATCACTCTGGCTGTAAAATAACAATAGCTTATTTCTGTTCAAGTTCAACATTTAAAAATTGCTTATATTCATTTACTTACATTAATATATAAATAATTCATATCAAACGGAAACATTACATTATATGAATAACATTTGTAGCTTGTAAAAAGTAAGTTTAGGTGCTTATGGACTGGTTAGGTCAGGAATGGAAGGACGAGACGGAATGACATTTAACGCCCGCGAAGACTAGCCCAAGCTGCCTTTCGCCGCAATATATCGGCATAATAATCCACGTACTTTATTTTTACAACAATAAAGTTTAAATTGTTCTATCTAACGTTTGAATAACGATGTGACCAGAATTAAACTAATTGGCAAAAATATATTAAAAATCATCGTCTCGTTCCTCAATGCCTTGCCTCGCCAATCTAAAATCACCTTTAAATTATCATATGATAGGACCTCGGTGCAAAATACGACCTACCACGATACACTCAAATATTACCTCTTAAGTTTTCAATAATCATAGGGTACATGCAGGGTTAATGGTACTTAGTACTTACATTTGCTGTTTACACGTAAACAGACATCTATAACAAGACATATTGATGTTAAAACTTTAGAATTGCATATTATTATAGGAGTGCTGAATTAAATATATTACGAAAATAAACGCAATATGATATACGGAAATTAATGTACACTATAGATTGCAACCGCTTAGGCCCTATACCAGACCGAGGTATTTAATGAAAATACTTTTGTGCATAATAAAGCTTAACTTATAATAAGACATAATTTTACAAAATTGTACTGTACAGCAACTTAAATGTTAATTATCATAGTAGTGAGTGTTCATAAGACATTCAATACACCGGCCATGCACAACAGCAATTACGGTTAAAAGACGGACTCGAGATATATAAAAAACTAAATCAATACATTCCCTTTGTGCATTTTACGCAAAACTATAGTATGAAACATTTCCTCAATTTATTACCTATTAAAGACATCTTTAATTGAAATCTAGAATCTTATCTTGTCTTGTAATATTAACATTTTACACACATTATACATTTTTACATTTACCGTCGAGAAAGTGTTAAACATGCACGTTAAATTAAGTAAAAAATAATAATGAAGAAGTTATTTGATTTTTAATTCCATGTTAAAGGCCGCAGACAAACTAATAACAGTTTTATTTTTATGCAGAGGAAAAATAGAGAAAGGTTAAATTGCACTTTGCAATAGACTGAATAAAATAAAAAAGTTATATATGTATGTATTACTGAATAATAAAAAAAGCTTTCATTTCATATTTTTGGGAGTATGACAGAAATAAATAAATTCATAACATGCTTGTTTTTTTTTTTTGAAAATTTCAAAATAGACAATTAAAAAGTTTTTTTAATGATTATAAAAGTTATGTTTAGGACGTAAGTGATTTCCGACACAAAACATCTTACCTCCGAAAACACTTAATTTTATTATAATTCTAATATAAAATTTCAAGTAATATAATTTGGATATATTTTTAATTTATAAGACGATAGGCACGCGCAGAAATCTTTCTAGAAAGGTTTTCATGAACAATCATTTTTACTTAACAACATTAATTTCCTGCATATTCCGGAAAGAACAAAAGTAGTACTACTAGTACGAATTATCATGACATGACACTGTCTATTTCTGAAATGATTTCAAAGAAACGCACTTTTTGATAGTTTATCATGGACACTTCCTCTGATGAACATGTATGTTCACAGCTATGATGTTAATAAAATTATAAGGACAATCCGAAACTTTAAATTGCCGTTCTAGGACAAAAAGTCATGTTAATTCGTAAGAGTTTAAAATATGCAGCCCACCAACAGTCTGTAATTATAAATAAATCTATTGATTTTTTTTATTATTTTATGATTGGCACAACAGAAATAATATATGAACAGCAACTCTAATACAAAATTTTAATATTCGTTAATTTGACAAAAAGCAATCTACAAATATAGGTTTCAGATAAATTGAGCATTGATAATAATATGTAAATTGTATATTGATATTGCATTGAAATAATTGATAACCCTGACTGGGAATCGAAATAACAATATTAATTTAAAATATACTATAAAAATCATGGTACTGATATATTTATATAACTTTTCAAATACCAACAGAGCTGCGAATAGGCTACGTATGGCACTTTTCTCCGTATTGACGTAGTGACGTCATTAGTTATAATTGAATTTCAGTTTTAAATGGGTTTAAGTTCCAATAGGTACGTTATCGAAATTGAAATATACAACAAACAACTTTATTCTATTAAATGCATGTTACCGAACACGTTGTACTATTTGTTGACGGTAATATAGATTGCCAATGATTCACCGATAACATGAAAATTATAACATGTATACACTAAATAAGAGAACTAATATTGTACTCGTATAATTTGATCAATAGACAACTATTATAATAATTTTCACATACAATATACACTGAATATAATATAAAATTTCATTATGCTAGTGTCAGGAGCGCCTGGGAGAGCTTTTCGAACAGTGACGTTCAAATTTAAGTCGTAATGTTGTACGGATTGAAATTAAAATTGTAATATTTAGAACGGGCTGCTCTACCAGGTGTTACCGACGTATGATATAGTGTCATTCCACGCAAGGTTTCAGAACCGTTTCACTGGTAACCACAGATTATAGACCTTATTTGTTTCCACATACGGTTTAATTTCTCACCCCCAGATTAGGCTCTATGTATTTGGTTATGTTCATTTAACTTTAAACAATATTATGTACATGTAAAATACTAACCAGTTCATACAGAGGCGTTTTGGTGGACTCGGTGAAATAGTTCTGAAAGTGTGGACGTCTCGTCTCAACTAACGTAGTATTTTCTACTGGCCCGATTTACGTAACAATCACCGAACACATTTTGTATCAGTTGTTATAATACACGATTGAATTGTTCAAAGGTTGAAATATTTATTTGATATTATGTAACATGAGCTTGTCATCAAAATAATTCTTGCAATACAAAATCAGCTCATAATTATTTTGACTTTAAGTATACAAAGTTGTGCTATATTTCTTTTTAAATTTTCTGTTAGTTGTATTAACATGAGTCATATTTTTATAGAAATCCAACGAAATATTCATCATCTTTTTAATTATCATCATCGTCATCATGATAGTATTAGCACTAGTTTGCATTCCATCAATAGTTACAAACGTCGATGTGCCTCAGCTGAAGTGAAATTTAAAGTCTCACTGTTCACTTACCATGACAATTATTTATATGACATTACGAGGAATATCTCTTGTCCGAAGAAATGTATACTTGATTATCACTTTTGTAGAGAACAAAAAGACTATTGGTATCGGTTGCTCGGTTTGTTTATTCTACAACAGTCCGCGATATGCGTTAGCGCTCGAAGCGAAGTCTTGTGTGTTATTTATTATTATATTATCGTATAGTTTGTGTTGGGTGGGAGTAGTGTTCAAGCGTCTGACTCAGCGCCCTTTAGCCGCAACCGCGCGAAGTCTTCGAATATGATGTCGTCATCTTGTTCTTGTCCGTTCTCGTCCCTGGAAAATACTTTATGTTATTTCATTATAGAATCAAATTATTTTACTAAGTTTAACTTCTACACAAACTACAGACTTCTAGCGAGTTTTCTTACGATGAAATAGTCTGGACAATGTATTTGTTTATATTTTCGATCCTCTCCTAAAATTATATCGATTGATGCTTTATATCAATTAAATAAGCTCAGTACTTTTGGAGCATTCATTTGGAGGATTCGAATCCTTAAGGGTTATGGTATTTTTTCATTTAAATGCTGTAGTTGGAGATCTGGCTCGACAGTAGGCCTACCACGTAACTACATCAGCTTAAAATTGATTGAGATTGGATTCAATCAAATTGTATTCAGTGTTCAATAAGATAGCACAAAATGCAATTTATTGGTTATTGAAATATTTATTTAAAATATTGTTATAGTTATTTACTAACTTTTAATTTGTTGCTAGAATTGTCGATAATGATAAATTAATATGTTAATATTAAAGTACATGAAAAACAAAAAAAAAAATCATAAATTAACATAAAGGTTGTCTGGTAGAAACCGCTGTTAGCGATAAGACCGCCAATTGCTACATCATCGTGTTATATTTTATTTGTAAATTTTATATTAAAAAATTGTAACTGTAAAATGGTGTGACAATAAAGTATTATTATTATTATTATTACTTTGTGATAGATAACGCGATAGAAAACGGAAAGCACATTTTTTTTAAATAACCATATGTTATAAATTAAATGTGAAAATCATAAGAGAAGTTGTTTTTCAGTCAACCATAACAATTACCATTAAAACTTAACAAGAAAAAAGACAATAAAAATATAAGAAAAACTTTGTGAGATCTCAACACAAGCCAACCAAACAAATCGTCAACCAGTGTTCTTTTGTTGACGGTACTGATCGTTGTACACGATTACGCAATCAAAATGGCGGCCAGGCGCATACGCAATCTGACGTGTGTGAATATGATATACTGACGGGTGCGGGTCGAGCTGTATGAGGTCGTGGTCGGTGGGGGGCGCGGGCGCGGGGGGCGCGCGCGGCTCCTCCTCAGGCTTCGGGTGCATCAGGATGAAGGGCAACTCCGCGCTCAGGTCACTGGCGGAGCAAAACAACACAGTCCAATCATCGTCATCATCATCATCAGCAGCCCTTTTACGTCCCCACTGGGGCTCCGACCTTCCTTATGGATGGTTAAGGAGGATGGGCCATGACCCTCCACGTTGGCCCAATGCGGATTGGAGGGTATTAACGACTGCAAATACAGCCGGGACCAACGACTTAATGCCTTCCGAAGCACGAAGTAGCTCGAGATAATAATTTTTTGGTCACCCATCCCGTGACCGACCCTTGCGAAAGTTGCTTAACAACAACGATCGCGGGCTGCGGCGCTTATCCTCTACGCCACCGAGCTACTTATCACAGTTCAATGAATACAGGGTTATAAGCAGTGGCGTAACTATACCGTTTGAGGCCCGTGGCAAATTCATCGGATATTCAATTTTTTTTTTTACTAATTGCGTAATAATAAATGTCAGGAGTAAGTAGGAGATCAGGGGCCGTGGCATTGTGCCAACTTGCCACCCTGTAGTGTTGCTACTGGTTATACGGTTTATTGTCATAATTAGACGGTAACCTGCCACACAGGATACTACAGAAACCGGTCTCCAGCCTCTCGCAAAGTTAAAATAAATTAATATAAACCTTTAGTCTCATGTATATAATTTTGTGTTGAGATAATAAATTATCATTGTTATTACTCGTATTATTATGAACCGGGCAATAGCGAGCGATTTACCAGTTTTTAAATTCGAATTATGCTTCAATTATAACAATATATTGCAAGAATATCTGGTTCACTCAATAAATCGGTTAATTCGAATCGTTCGCCAGCCCTGTTCGCCAAGAATCGCTAAGGGTTTTTCAATAGTTTAATATACTCAGTTCTATATATTTTTTTTAAACTTAATAAAAATAAACGTGATTCCACTCACCCGCCTAGTGGTCCTAGACAGAGTTTCACTTTGACTTTGTATTGGACTATGATACCTAGGTTCTCACGTTGCGAAGGGTCTGCGATCCTGCGAATGAAACGAAAGATTTAACACATGTTAACTGTACAATTACGTTTCGGGTCGGCTCATTATACATATATGTATTTGTATATTCATCATTAAATCGGAATATGTACAGAAAATTCACATAGTGCGCCTCGTTCTACTCGGTTAGATCTACTATGGAGAGAGATCGAGAGAGCTTGAAATACAGTATAATTAACACCCGGTTCCTGAATAGAGTATTTAAAGTTGCACTATAAATAGTACATTTTAATGATCAGTCGAGGGTAGTTCGATAAAAACTAAAAACATTTTGCCTTGGGAAATGTAAACAAGTAATTTAGTGGTTTTCTCAATTCAGAAACCGGCCGATAGCGTTGGTATGGGCACAGGGGGCTCACAGCGTGCTGGAGGCGAGGTTGGTGTCCTCGTGCTTGAGCTGGCCGTCGAGCGCGAGCCCCCACTTGTCCTTGTTGTTGGCGAGCAGCGGCGTCAGCGTGAACACCTTGCTCAGCGTGAAGCCCGGCCCCACCGGGCAACCCTCTCTGCTCGACACACAACCAAACCATATGTCATACGTTTATAAAACAAATCATCATTCATCAGAGATGTACAAAATACCCTGTACAAAGTATCTGGAATACAAGATACAAAATACTTTTAAATTAAGTATTTCAGATACCAGATACAAAATACTTTCGAGAAAAGTATTTGAAATACTAGATACAAAATAGGTATCTTATAGATACTTTTTATAAATACAAATACTTTTCTAAAAAAAGATTTGAATTTCAGTTTGTTTATTAAAGACCACAAAAACCTAAATCTTAGTCCAGATGGTAAGTGGATTTTTTAAGCATTTTTCATTAGAAACAATTTTTGTAAGCTTTTATTTAGTTTCACCTGTGTTTGTACTCAAATCTTACAAGCTAAATTTCACCCAATTTTCCTCCGTTTTATTTGTTTGTCAATCACAATGTAACATATAAAAATACAAATATTTAATACATCAGGTTTAAATTATTTTAAATTTTTTAGTTCCTTTTTAATAATATTTTTTTTTCAATATAGCATGGTGAATGAAAAATTGCTGAAATATAACAACAACAATAATTATTTAAATTTAATTATAAAATTATTATTTATTAAAAAGCTCGTTTTACGTACGACGTAAAATTACGGAGAAATGAAAATTCATTTTTTCCTAGTGAGATGAAGAGAATGGGTAAAAATAAATACAGTACTTGGTTTTTAAAATTAATAGCGTGACTTGTGACGAGGTGAATGTGCGATAGTATGTAACGGAACGTATATTAACTTTTTTTGCAGAATTACCGAAAATTATGCCCCTTTAGTGCGTTAAGCTAAGTTGAAAATTTTTAGTAGAAAATACTTAGCTTCTGTGGCTGATTATAGTACGTTGGTTTGTAGGAAAGGCTTATAATACGTAGATGTACCTAAAAAGACGTAGAGTTGGTATTGCTGGTACTGTTGGTAATGCGCCATTAGTTACCAATCTGATCGGATAAATCCGGTCTCAACCGGATTTGAAGTATTAATTAAGTCTTTATCTATGATATTTCCGGTTTTAATAAAATAAATGAAGCTTTATTTTCTTATTTCTATTAATCAAAGTAATCACCCATGCAATCAATACATCTTTGCCAACGCATTGGTAGTTTAATGATGCCTTCTTGAAGAAATCAGCTGGACGGGAGGCAACAAATACTTCAAAGGCATTTTGTACTGCCTCTCGGGAATTTATTTTTTTCCCGCTAAGACGTTATCCAAATTCTGGAAGAATAAGAAGTCTGTAGGCGCATGGTCTGTTAAGTACGGCGGATGACGGAGAACTTCAAACCCCAGCTCTTGTAGCTTGGGTACCGCCAATTGTGTAGTATGAGGTCGTACGTGGTCGTGGAACCGAACGATTGACAAAACCTGGTTGGAGTTGTGCCAGCTTCTCCGTCATTGTGTTCAGTTCTTCACAATACACACAGTAAATCTGCAGTTATGCTCGTCCTGTTTGGTAAGAAGCTGTGATGAAATACATCCGCGTTAGACCACCAAACAGCAACCTTTTCGTAAACCAATAACGGGCAAACCAATAACGGGTGGTGCGTTCGTTTGTAGTGTTCGCTCTGCAAACGTTGTAATGTTGCGTGCCGCTTTGCTGCCACGATGGCACACATACTCCATAATTACTCGAATTTTTAACTTATCCATGACGACGGAAAATATTCAAATTCATTGAAAACAAAACACTTACTATTGAACAAATGACGATTTAAGAAAAAATAATTTGATATTAGAATTATCAGCCAAAAAAAAATAGTTTGATTTTAAATGGCTAGTACAGTAGAACGGCAATTACATAGGTAAAGACCTAATATTAAGACAGGACTCCGCCCATTTTTTTGTTGTTTCTCAATAAAGATCTCTTGAATTAAATGGTTACTTATTAAAGCAAAATCTACCATACGATTACATCACAGATTGTGTTGTATTTTTGAAAAATAAAGGAGTATTAATTGACGATGTCAAAGAAATTATTTGAAGAATTTGTTCTATTAACAAATTTATTTTTATGACGAATTAGTTGAAAAGCAGTGGGTAATTATTTTCAATATATGCAATGACAGCACTCGTTTCCGAACTACTGAAGATTTGTCAGTATTTTTTTGTATTATGCCTCATAATGCGAATATTGATTTTTTTTTCGCTCATGAATATGCAGTGGTCAAAAGATTAACTGTTGAGTCAATAAAGGCAATATTGCTTTGCTCACGGGATATAATTTCAAGCATTTGCCATGTATCGAATTTCACAGTGAAATTTCTTTAAAAATAAACTTTTTGAATGCTGTTGTTAGTGGAAAAAGTATAATGTGCAAAAAAGTAATAAAATTTAATAATGAGTTTAATTGATATACTGAGTTTTATTTAAAGCATATAACCGGGTTTTTACATAAATCAAGATTTTTTATTGCTTGTAACTGGTTATTCGATTTCAAGCCCTATGCGCCATCTATCAATTTTTACTAGGGAGGGTGTATTACACCGGTATAACCGTACGTTCAGTTCTACGCATTTACTTTTTAAATGACACCAAACAATGTTTGGATTCGAGTCATTTTTAACTAAATATTCATTGCGTTGATAATTGAACACTTTCTTTTTGTAAATATGTATGTTTTAGGCAAAGAATATTTTGTGATATTTATAAAATGTAAGAAATAATCTTTTTATAAAGTATTTTATCAGAAAAAGTATTTAAAAGATACTAAGATACTAAACAAAAGTATTTAAATACAAGATACAAAATACTTCCTAAAAAAAGTATTTTAGATACAAGATGAAAATACGTATTTTGTATCTTGTATCTGTATTTCAAATACTTGTATCTAAGATAAGTCACATCTCTGTCATTCATCTATACTCTATGCAAATAAATGAAGTCCGTTTATAATAGTAAAAGAACGGCTTTGGAATAAACGCATCAAGTACGCATAAGCATCCGGGCGATTGCTCTCATCCGGGCGAGTGAGAGCAATCGCCCGGATTGCGAAAGGTCATCGGTCCGAGTCCCATCTCGAAGTGCCAGAGACAAAGTAGATTTTTTAAGTATTTTTCATTAAGAATATTTTTCAGTATAGCATTGAGAATGCAAAATTGATCACACATGTACTAAAATATATTTTTTTTTACATTTTTTGTCTGTCCGTTTGTTCCGGCTAATCTCTGAAACGACTGAACCGATTTTGACGGGACTTACATTAGCAGATAGCTTATGTGATAAGGAGAAACTTAGACTACTTTCCACGGGGACGAAAACGCGGGCACAGCTAGTTATATATAAATATGTAACTATTAAAAAAATAAGCTCGATACCACAATTGATAGCTCTGCGATGCGAAGATTGAGCATTTTCCGCAAGGGCCGTAGGATGGGTGACAATAAACTATTGATCACCTACGTGCCTTGAAGATACATTAAGTTATTGTATCTCGGTTGTATTTGTTATCATTAATGCCCACCGATCCGAACCGAACAGGCAGCCGCGTGGAGGGTTATGGCTCATTGGCCTTGTATTCCATTCATAGAAAAGGCCTGTGTCCAGGATGTGTGTCACGATGATTGAACCACAGCTTCCAAATTCTCATCGCCCATGTGATAATGACAGTGTACGTACTGTGGGGTTTTAATGGCCTCTGAGGTTCTATTGAACGAATACCCTCTGGGTGGACCCACTGAAGCGTCACATATAACTTCGAGGGCGTGACGACGATGTGCACAAATTTTCATGTGGTGTTAAAAATTGTAAATCATATTAATGTTTTCCTCTCTCTTCTATTAACCAACATCAAAGTAAAGAATAAAAAAAATATAAACACGTTGGTACTTATGAACACTCTACTATACCCGGTGGTTGATAACCTATTTTTATCGAAACACCTACAATTTGTGTACTATATATTCAAATAAATATGAAAATTATAACAAATATATTAATTTAAAATATTTAATTAGGTTTCGATGTTACTTCTTCACGTAAGAACTACTGAACGGACTTTAATGCGATTTGGTATACGGTTAATTTTCAGCCTGAATTGAGATGTAGATATACATATAGGTAACTTTCTATCACACTAACTGGTTCTCTAGGGAGAAAAGTACCATCAAGACATTATACAAGTGCGAAGCCGCCGACGAAAAGCCATATTCAGATATTTTGTAAATGTTCTATTTATGATACTAAGCCGCAGGAAAAAAACGTGCCCTATTTTAAAACTTAGCCTCTATAACATAAGGTAAAACACGTTAAATCTAAACAATTTTATAAAATATATTAATTAATTAAGTAACTCAAATCGTATTATAAATTAAACATATTATAACGCCATCGTTTGCGTCTTGCTTCAGCAGTCTAGAAGCACCTTTAGTCTATGTATTTAATATATTCCGATTGAATCTTGCAGTACAGGCAAAAATAAGTCAAACGCCACGTGGCATTTCACACACCTCTTTCTCCGGTCAACAACCGGTGACACTATTCACACTCACTGGTTTATCAGTAAATTTCATTCCAACAAATACAATATTCTTATAAAAAAGAAAATGGCATTAATAAGCGACTCAAACAATTATTTATAATATATGTAATATATACATATTATGACATGACATAATGTGTATGCGAGTCATGCACTCACACGCAAACATTTACTTACAGAGATTGTATTTTTAAATTCTTACTGAATGTCTTTATGAACGGATAATCAAATATTTTCTTCGCCTTCGTTTTGCGCTTCCTGAATAACAAATGTTTCGTCAAATGTGTCTGCGTGTTCACACATGGAAAATACAAATACACATAATAATATAGTAAGATAAATAAACAAATTTTTAAACCGGATATGCCATTCTGTTAAATAAAAGTGTTGAATATAACACTCTCGCAGATTAGATAGCAAACGTTTCTGTTCCGTTTCTTTTATTAGTCTTTTTAATGATCAGTTGATAGCAATTTGATAAAATCCAAAACTTTTTACCTTGTGAAAAGTAAAAAAAGTTAAATTTTTGAGAATAATCTTTTGAGATTTTGTACTTTACTCAATACAGAAACTGATCGTCAATCACAAAAAGACACTAAATATAATAATAAGTAATAAAAAAAAATATTTTGATTGGAACTCTAATACTGCGACAGCGCTGTGTTATAAAAAAGCTGTTTAGTTTCTTTGACAAATGTAAAAAATAGTATACACATATTTTATTCGTCAATAGATAGAGAAGAAAAGAAGTAATGATAATGTATAAATTTAAGTAACAAAGCTCATATAGAATAAGTTTATAATAAATATACACTGTGTTTATATACTGACTCGCTCTCTGCTTCGGCGACGGTACACTTGTACTGTGCGGTGGAAAAGAGACAGATATCTGCGAACTGCCTCACAGACACCTTGATGCGTTTCACAGACCGATTCGAGTTGTTCGCTATATGCACATTCACCGCTATGTTCTCCCCATGGTGATATAACTCCTATTAAATGAAAATAAAATGATTAAGAATTAAAACATTTCAACCAGAGACCATCCTTACACCCGGTTTCTGAATTGACAATTTGAAGTTAAGCATATCTCCAACCGTATTTAAACAATTTCAAACGACACTTTAACAAGCTTTCGTTTTTTATTAAAATTTTTTGATAATTGATAAAACTAGGACATAATGCCACGAAAAACTTAAAAAATTAAGAATAATCACTTGAGCTTTCGTACTTTTCTAAATTCAGAAACCGGCCGTTACTTTTATAAAAATATCTATCTACACGATTACATAGTCCCATTGAAATTGAAATTAGAAAAGCGAACAAATTATTAATTATAAAAAATCTACCTTGTCTAGCGACGCTTCTAGGTACAGTTTGTTGGGGCTCATCATGAACTCTTTGGATACCTCGACAGACGGTTGCTCGCCTTGTTTACTCGGTGCGTACATAATCTTCCTAATTGCCAGTCGCACTGAATTTCTGATGACAAACATAATAATAGTAAATACTTTATTTTATTGCCATCATATAGTCACCATTACAATACCTGTGTAAGCCACGTGACCGCGGCAAATAAATATTTAAGGTACTCTTTCGATTATTCTTTGTTAGTCATTGCATTTACGACATAAATGCATTCATAGATAGCGTTACGCCAAAACGAATAAATACTTTATATATACAATACAAATTATATATTCACTGAATTAATGTTTGTAAACAAAACGTTTTGCTGACCCTCGTTCAAGAAAATGTTGAAAAATAGATAACTGTATATTTAATGAAAAATGCTTAAAAAATCTCTGTGTGTGTACCTGGGGCAAGCGGATTATTTAAGTATTTTTCATTTTGAAACGAAATCGTTCAATTGTTATTATAATGCTTAAAAACGCAGATAATCTATCAAATTATGCTTTTAAATATATTTGATTAATTTTATCAAATATAGTCAAAAGTATTATTTGATAGATTATCTGCGTTTTTAAGCATTATAATAACAATTGAATGATTTCGTTTAATTCGTAGCACAATTCGGCGGTTCGACTGCCTAATTTCCTTGATCAAGCTTTTGGTATAATCAGTTTTACTTTAATTGAATGTTAAGAGCAATAACTTTGAATCAGCAGTTGTATGAAGTTCAATAAGTTACACAATACATCCGTCGATTCGTAGCACAGATCTGGAGTTCGAATGCTACGAATCCATGTAGTCCGTAGCACATACCTCTTGTGCGGTTTGTCATCTTGCGAGTCTGCTACGAACGCTTTGAGCTCGTAGTCGACTCCGCACGGTTTGCCGGTGTCGCCGGGCGCGGGTTGCAACGTGACGGACGCGGGACAGTGTGGCGGCAGCTCGAAGTAGAACGGATGGGCGGCCGGTCCCAGTTTGCGGACCAGACGCTCCTGTAGCCGGGTGAGGGGCCGCTTCGCGCTGTTCGTCGATGGGTATATCTGTCGATAGATAGTCGCGCGACTCACTTCACTTAACTCACAAAACTAAATAAGCCAACTAAGAAGACTTTAAGGTGAAATTGCAAAGATTACATCATTTTTCGTCTCAATTACATAAATACAACTATTTCATGTTTTTGTGTATCATATGTTATTTAAGTTATTGAAAATATCCATATCTTTTATAACGATATTTTTCCGTTTATATTAGCGTAGGTTATTATTTTGAAATGAACACAAATAAAAGACATTTTGCGTAGTAGTAATTCTGAATCGTTCACTTATCAATTAAATTCAATGTTATTGATGAGCGAACATAATAACTTTAATAATAACTATGTACGTTATTATGCAATTTACCGGGCAGACATGCACAACAAAACATATAAGGGGCGGAAATTAATACAAATACGGTAGCTTCAATGAATGTATTATGCATATCGATAATTCAATGTGCATATCAGTTTTATTATATAAGTCTAAATAGAAGGACACTATTTCTATAGAGTCGAATATTATTATATATATGGATAATGACGACGTCAATATCTACACAACAATTTATACATACGTTTACATCTTTAACAGCAAATCGATTATACTTAATTGTCAATGGTTCACTAACACGCGAGTGACTCAGGATGCATAATTAGCTTATCAACTAAATAATTTATTGTATTGCTTCAATTAAATTAGCATAATTGGACCGTAGTAATTAATATTAAATGGTAAAACACAAGTTTATTGTAAATGTAATTAATATATAATTTTTAGTTGTTGTATGTAATAAATTAAAACGACATCGGCATAATAGGACTCTATTTTGAGAGCAACTTTGTCCTAATATCATATTAATTTACGAATATATTTATTATGGTCACTAGATAACCTATTAATTAAGTGAGAGGAAGCACTCACGTGAACTTTATACTTTGCAGGTGGAAGTCCTGTTTATTTATTCTTTCGATTATTTATCGTTTTTCTATTCTCTATTAGTAAGAGTGGTTCGATATCCAGGCATGTTCGAGACGGATATATAATACCGCAAGGGGAATAGGTAACGTAAAAACCAGAAGTAAAGATAGAAAAGGAAGCAGAAGGTGAAAAATTTAAAGAACAGACGCATCAAGAAATCTGTAGGCCTACAGGTCTCTTGAGGCATTGCTCTGCTAATGTTTACGTAATACTTGCCCATTGTATTGTACTATCTACCTGAAGTCCAATATTATTATATATCTGTCACCGTTGTTTGGTAAGGAAAACAGCACTTATAATATTGGCATAAGGTACATCCACCACTTAGTTCGGAATAGAGCTCTAAACAATACAATGATACACATCGCGTAATACCTGTTCCGCTGCTAGATACAGGTCCTTTCTGAACGTTAGTCCTAGCACGTCGAGGTCCTCGCGGCCGTATCTGAACGCGGCAAGTACGTGTCCGAACACCTTGCGCTCCTTGACATACTCAGGATCAATCAACACCACACCGTCTGGAATCAATCATACACATACGGTTAGTAGAAGAACAATCAAACTCTCAGTTTGATGTTGCCATAGTCATACCAATTGAAATACGTATTAGTGAATTGTATTTTTATTAATAAATTACATAACGGAACTTTTACCTTTATAATATCCCAAATAATATCATCACCAGCCCTTTTACGTCCCCACTGCAGGGGCTCAGGCCTTCCTTATGGATGGTTAAGGAGGATGGGCCATGACCCTCCACGCTGGCCCAATGCGAATTGGACGGTATTAACGACTGCAAATGCAGCCGGGACCAACGGCTTAACGTGCCTTCCGAAGCACGGAGTAGCTCGAGATATTAATTTTTTTTGGTCACCCATCCCGTAACCAACCCTTGCGAAAGTTGCTTAACGACTACGATCGCGGGCCGCGGCGCTTATTCACTACGCCGCCGAGCTACTCAAACCAAATAATACCCAAATAATATACTAGTATGTACATATAAAACCAGTACTTCCAATTTAATTAATTAATTAATTTACAACTTTATGCACTAAAGTACAAAGGCGGACTTAATGCCTTAGACATTCTCTGCCAGTCAACCTTTAGGTGATATAGAGAGTAAATATAAAGTAAAGGTAGGTGCATACCAATACACTCAAACAATTAAAAAGAAAATATATACTTACATCTATGTATTTATACCTCTGTTAGTATAAATTCAGTGCTAAGCACTCATCAATTTATACAAACAGAGATATAAATACAGAAATAAATATAAAGTATAAAGTCACGCAACTTTGTTTTGAAAACTAACCGATTGGGGGGACTTTCCGATGTCTGGGGGTAGTGCGTACCATAGTAGAATAGCCTTAACGAAAAATAAGGAGTAGATGATGTCAGAATGATGAGAAGGGCAAACAAGTAGTTGTGTGACTCGTGCATAAATACTGAAAGTGGGGGGTTAGATAGCTTAGGGTATTAGGTGATTCTAATAAAGGAAACAAAGTGGTCAATGCCCGCACATCTCTACGCATTCGTAGAGGCATCGATTTTAAAGGAGAGTATTTACGGAGATTAAAAATGAATCAAATGCAGTAAATTATTTTCTTTTCTACCTGCAAAAGTTCATAACTGATTTCAAAGTTGTTTTCACTGTAAGGATTACCGTGCGTGCGAAATGTAAATACATAACGATAAAGAAACTAGGTATTACAAAAAAATAAACCTGTTTAAAGCACGACTTCGAAGGTCGATTCCTAATATACTCTCAAAAGAATTACAATGGATTAAAAACATTTTTCTCTGTAGTATAAGGCCAATATAAACTGGAAATCAACACGGCAACAGCCTCCGAACTAGAGCTCCGAAAGATTATGAAGACACTTACGGCACGCAAGAAAAACGTGCCGATGCATAATCTGTACAGCTGTTTGAGAGCTTTTTATTTGCGAAGGTTAATATTCGGATTATGATATTTTTTATAATATCATCGGCGTCTTTTTTATTTTATTTTTAACTAGAATAAAAAGATCAGTGACACGCTATAGGAAAAAAATGTAACTCATTTTGCGGCGAGAGTGGAAAAAAGCAACTTGATATGATGATTTGATTTTTGATTGATAATTTTTATTTAAAAGAAAGTTACAAAATTACAACACTATAATTCGCTGTAAAATAATCACTTTTAAAATGGTAATTCAAATATTCTGAAATGGCCCACAATTTTGAAAACGTCACACATGTCAATACTAGGCATGCTTGTATTGGCCGGTTGTCGTAAATTACTAAGTTTTATTTGTATCAGTAATACTGGCGACTATTAAAAACGGCCTATAGATCAACATCAAGTATGATTTATCAACGTTGTCAACAAAGCATTCTTCCTAGAAGAGCAATACCTAGGTATATGTATACCTAGTTACCGATAAGTTCCTCCTTTTCGATTTTGAAATCCGTTAAAAATGAGTTACGGCGTTTTTGAATTGCAAATTTTTTCCATTAAAATATCGATTTAATGATCGCCGTTAACTAATATAAAGCTAATATAAACCAATGATAATGCCATTACTTTATATAAATATAAACATTTCTGTTAAAGGATTGGTAATTTCTTACGCTCTTCTAGGTCTTCTAGAAAAAAATTGTTAGACGATTCAAAAGTGCTATCAATAATAAATTTTGAATAAGTACCTATTTTCATAAAAATTTATTTCGAACTCACCAATCGGGTCTACATGTGTTATATGGTCCACGAAGTCCCTTTTCCCTAAATATACTGTTATCTGAAACAAAGAAATTGCGTAAATATTTACTAATGCGATCTGTCCTGATTTGTCGTAGCTCGGAGGATGTCCGGTGAGCGACCGGGAGGGTTTGTATATTGTCCGGGGTAACTAATTATCGGGTATCGATAGAAATGCTCGGTTTTAGCCCAAGAATCCGGGATTGTTCAAACACGAGTAACATGACAAACTCGAGAAATGCTTTTGTCTACTAAATGTCACTTTATTACGGTCGAAAGATAATTGCATAGGAGCGCCCGGTCTCTAATTCGTAATGCTTAAATACTTTCTGATATTTTATCTTTTTTAAATTCTCAATGCTATAGTGAAAAATATTCTCACTGAAAAATACTTAAAAACTTCACCAGCCCCACTCACTAGTAGCGAAAAGTAAAAAGTGCTTGAAAAATTCCGTCCTGTTAGTTCCTGGGCAGCTCAGTGGTTAGAGCAGTGCCCGGTTTGCGTAGGTCGTGAGTTCGAGTCCCGTCTCAGAGTACCTGTGGCTGTTGGATTTTTTAAGCATTTCTCATTAAGAAAATATATTTCATCAACGTATAATCTATCAAAACTTCTAAAGTATTTATCTTCATTTGACAAAACGACAGAGTCATCATCGTTATCATCTCAAGCCATCCTTAACCAGTTTGGTATAGGCCTCCATTTATTTTTCTATTTTTCCTATTTTGGACTGTTTGCATCCAAATTTCAGAGTCATAAACAAATAATAGATATGATATAATATTATCTAATACCTTTCCATTGGGAGAGCTCTTCTTGAAGACCCGTGTCGCTTGCCTCTGCTTGTTGCTGCCTGTGTCGTCCATGCTGCCGCCGCGCCCTCCGCACCACTGTCCATAAACAACAGGAACAGAAAAGATTTTAGAATAGGTACTATATATTTATACTATATATACCGGGCCTTAGCAGGGTAAACAGAACTGAGCATCACAAGGCTCATACGTATTTCGCTTCTTTAACGTTAAAATTCATACCCTTTTCATACATGTACGCCAATATAGGTATATGGTTTCTGATGACTGCATCCTTTTAGTTCCGCATTCTTTCAATATATCCGTATCATCGGGGAATTATAGAAACAATATAAAACGAAGAAATTATATGTATATGGACATAGAATTATGGTTGTTTAGATTATAGTATATTTTTTAATATTTACATCTGTGCGAGGGGAGCATCAGTAAAGCACTAAGTGCTTTGGGGTAATCACGAATGCGGAGAAAATCCGAAAATGACATTTAAAAAAAAGCAATCGTTTGTTCTGTCTAATTTTAACTATTTTCATCTATTATATTTTTTACTATTTATAAAAAAAACAATAGTATTTCGTCATTTTCGGAATGAAACTTTTTACATACGGAAAGCACGTGTACTTATGGTGACACACAAGCGAAAAAGATCGTCGAACCACAAGTTCGCGTACTTACTCGCACGTCTATCACCTACTTTACTGTCGCGAATATGTAAAGAATACGAAACATTAAAAATTTGTAACATCTAAATGAAAAATATGTTTCAGAATTAACAATGGTAATAATAATAACAAATATCTTCAAGTCAAAAAGCCAAAGAGACTACTTTGTCATCGGCTTTAATTGGGTCAACTCGGCTGTCTTTATGAGTATAATGAAAATAAATTCGCTGTGCTTCCTTTATGAAAAACTGTAACATATATAACATTGACTTAAGAAAGTACCCTTTTAATTAAGGAGGTATTTGTTAATAATTTACTCATAATACGTCAGGGTTTCATTAATAATTTTATTTTTAGTCAAGATATTATTTAAATGAGATATAATGGAAAAGGACACCGACAAGCGATGTCTTTCTTTTTCGGCTTTACTATTCTATGAATATACAGTGTTAAATACAGCTGTCGTACCCATTTGAAGTAGGTTTTACTCTATTGAACCTTTTATTATATTTTATGGATTACACTTTTGATAAAGTTATACTTACGCGGGCCCTTGTAGGGCTCCAGGGTGCGCGTTACCGGCACAGTATGCTGCTGCGCAGTCGCACCAACCTGCAACAATCAATATTGTACATTAATTCGCTGTTGCTGTGTAATAAACATTATTACACTAATGGATCATTACCCCATTATTGGTAAACGAATCAAACTAAATGTTTTCTGAACTACAAATTAGTTTTCTTATAAAAGCGCCATTCACTCATGTCACATATATCACTACAAACTTTATGGGTAAAAAAACAGTTCATAAAATTTCTAAGATGATTCCTTAAAAAGTGCTTCTTTTCTATTGTTTGCCAAAATATGAGTGAAATTGAATTCGTCTGTCTTGGAAAACCTTAAAAACTCAGAGAATAGAATTCTCCGTATAGTTAATCGTCCTTGACCCTAATACCCAATTACGTTTATTGAACAAATATCAGGGGTTCCATTAGGAATATCTAACAGGGCTGTGAGACTTCTTTGAAAGAAAGTATTGAAAACATGAGGTTGAGAAAATGTTAATGTTGTATAAATTATAATAATCGGATCAATAAAATTGTGGGTTACAGTAGTAATAGAGTATTATTTCATTCAAATTATTTTCCAGACGAAAACGAAATGTTGAAAATTATTTACATAGACATTATTCGAATGCAATAGGGGAGCGAGGGGCTAGTTGTAACAGGGGTAAGTAGTAACAGGCCTTTTTCAATATAAATTTAATCCTTATTGACGCCTTTTTCTTACTAAATCTTACGATTATAACTCGCCGCACCGCATGATCACAGCCAGTGTCTCGCCAGGCGGCGCTGTGAGTGGATGTGTGCAAGCGCTTCGTTGTCGCCAGGTAACGTATTATTTCACTTTCGTAATTTTTTGGTTGGCATTTCTATTTACGACTAATAAGAGTTGTATGTATTTTATTTGATGCTAAAATATAACTATTTATGATGTTCTATATCAGTTATCGAAATAACTAAGTTGATTTAATAGCTATCGTGATAAATATTAAAAATTATACCTAGGGGCTAGTTGTAACAAAATCCCGGGGTTAGTTGTAACATGTTACAACTTGCCCCTAGATTGCTGACAGTTACTGTTTTTATTTGTAATATAACATACCATATTTGTTTTTATTTAGAATGAGAGAGTATAAAAGAAAGACAGAGCGGGCAACACAAAGCCAGAAGGTGTACGAGTTGGCTGCAGCTGAAGTTTTAGAAAACAACTGTAGTATTCGGAAGGCGAGTAAGAATTTTGAATTATGTCACGTATCTCTGTACAGATATATTAAGAAGAAGAAGAATAATGAAAGTCCAAAAGTAGGTTATGTCAAGCCTAGACAAGTATTTACAGACGAAGAAGAACGTAAAATGTCTTTATATATTCTTAAGTGTGCCGAAATATATTTTGGATTACTTCCTATCGAAATAAGGAAACTAGCTTACCAATGTGCTGTGCATCTTGATGCTAAAAACATTCCCCCTTCTTGGCATCAAAATAATAGTGCTGGTCCTGATTGGTTCCAAAATTTCATGCGCAGAAATTATCAACTGTCTTTAAGGACTCCAGAAGCGACGTCACTGAGCCGAGCAACATCATTTAATAGGACTAACGTTAATGCTTTCTTTGAAAAATATCAAGTCCTTCTCCAAAGATACGAATTTACCGCTTCTCGAATTTGGAACATTGATGAAACTGGGGTCACGAACGTTCAAAAACCAAAGAAAATCGTAGCTGCTCGTGGTCAAAAGCAAGTTGGCGCGATAACATCAGCCGAGAGGGGAACACTTGTGACACTTGCCTGTGCCGCTAACGCTGCGGGAAATTTTATTCCACCGATGTTCATTTTTCCCAGGCTTAAATACTCTGAAATGTTCATTCGCGGTGGACCTCCAGATTGCATTGGAGCTGGCAATTCTTCAGGGTGGATGACAGAAAAGGAATTTTTAGTTTTTATGGATCATTTTATTAAGCACGTGAAACCCACCAAGGAAGAGCCAGTTCTATTACTACTCGATAATCACAGCTCACATGTGAATATTTCAGTTGTCGAAAAAGCCAAAGAAAACAATGTTATCATGTTATCGTTTCCCCCCCATTGCTCTCACAAATTGCAACCTATGGACGTAGGAGTCTATGGCCCTTTTAAAAACTACGTGAACAGAGCACAGACTGCATGGATGCATAATAATCCGGGGAAAACGATGACAATATATGACATCCCAAGTGTAGTGAAGAAGTCATTGCCACTTGCCTTGAACCCTGCAAACATTATCAGTGGATTTAAAGCTTCTGGTGTTTGGCCTTTGAATGTGGATATTTTCCAAGATAGTGACTTTGCACCCTCTTATGTTACTGATCGTCCAGATCCTACAGAACAATCAGAAAACGTTCTAAATGAAAGTGAAAATTTATCGTTGAATCTTGAAAATCCAGAACTATTAGAATCTGTTCCTGAAGTCGATATAAGCACCACAGAAATTATACGCCACATCGAAACTGCGAACGAACCAACTCCAAGTTGCTCTGGGCAAAATCAATTTTCCCCATCGAAGATTAAGCCATTACCGAAGGCACCACCACGAAAATCAAATAGGAATTGTAGACGCAAGAGGAAATCTGCTGTTTTAACTGACACGCCTGAAAAAGAATCTTTGAGAATGGAATATGAAGAAAAGATAAAGAAAAAGCAAAAGAAAGATGATAAAGATCAGGGAAAAGGAAAGGGAAAGGGGAAAGGAAAGGGTAAAAAATCTGTAAAAAATAAATATAAAGTAAAAAGAGTTAAAAAAAGAATTCTCAGTTCAGATTCAGAATCTGAAGATTGGCATTGTCTTGTTTGCGATGAGGCGTATAGTCATTCAAAAGGTGATTGGGTTGAATGTATTGTATGTAAAATGTGGGCACATGTAGGATGTGTCACTGGAGATACTATTTCTTTTGTTTGTATCAACTGTAATTCGGATGAAGACTAAATTCTTTAGTAAGAAACTCATAGCAAGGCTGATTATTGTAAGATGTTATGTAGAACTAAGAGATAATTACGAGACTTGATTTGGAAGTTTATAGTTTATTAGTTTACTGTGATTTTAAAGTGCCATGTTGATATATAAGTACCTCTTGTAGTACATAAGTACAAAATAAGATGAATAGTTATTAACTTAAATCTTTAATTTGTTGATTATATAAAAAGTATGTTCCAGTTAATTATTTAATAAGAAAATTACATATTATAGGAGTATTTGGTTAGTTTTTGTTGTAAACAAAGCAAAATGATTCAATATGTGAAAAAAATAAATGATTGGAGTTGTCACATTTTTGTTTTTAATTGATGTTACTACTTGCCCCAATAGATGTTACAACTAACCCCAAGCACGGGGTACGTTGTAACACTTCCCTTTTTTAAATAAAACAGTAATTGCGAAAGAGTTACCTGGATTTTTGATATTTTTTTGATTTGACATAATAGAAGAATAGTTAAAGTTTCAATCAAACTTTAGTCAATGATAAGCTAGCCAAGATATCTCGAGATATAAAAGTATTTTTGAAAATCGTTACAACTAGCCCCTCGCTCCCCTACTTATCGCAATAAAATCTATTTAACCCTTAGTTTTTTTAAATCAGAATCATATTCCTTATTGTAGCAAAAAAAAAGTCTCAAAATTTTACAGTCACTACAATGACTTAAGTAAAGTAATGCCCGATGGACGAATTTCCGACAACTGGATGACCACTAGCACGTCATTATTATTCTACACAGACGAAGTCGCCGACGCTAGATTGTACGTTATAAATCATAGCGAAGTGTACCTGCGGAGCGAGTGATGCGTCCTGACACACAATAATTGGCAAGATCCGAGCCGTGACGAGACGGCGCGGTAATCGGATTGCCGGTCCTCCCTCTATAGGGATGCCACCAAAATTACATTTCTAGGACATTTCTATGTTATCGTCAAGAGCGAAATTGATCTGAATTATTAAATCTTCTTCGTATGTCAATAAGATCTACATAATATAGACGAAGTTATAAAACTCAATGCGGCGAGACGGAAGATCTGTCAGGCGTTTCACTCTTGATTGAAAGACTTCAATTGTTATGTTACATGACGAGCTCCCCCTTCCTCTATTCAAGTCTTAAATATCTATATCCTATCGTCGTATCCCTTGTGGGGTAGGCAAATACAATAAATTATAATGTAGCAAACAGACATTGAAGTAGATACTAATTTATGAATCTGTGTTCACTTATTTAAAATAACTGATATTATTATTACAAACTGTCATTCCTAAGATGCAAAATTCTTTAGAAAATAAAGCAGTTATATTTTCATTTAGGTAGAACGTCATACTTTCATTATTTTTAACAATCAAAAGATGGGGCTTTTGATTATTTTACAATGATAATATTGCACTTGTTTTAGCAATTTTTATTATGTAGAGAACTATAAAGTTATGTTAAAGTTTAATATATACCTATATTTATTTGAATTTTAATGTAGTTCCTCGATTTTATTCTTCTGAAAGCGATAAAAAGGATGCATCGTTACAATGGTAATGCAAAACCATAACCAAGACCCAACATTTCCCAGGGTGACTTTTTACTTGTCTATTAGCTAAAATTCTCTTCTGTTCCGAGTTCGTAAGATAGTAATTGTTTACGATTTTGAGAACTATTAACTTCTATAAACTAACATTAATTAACAGGTGTAACATAAAAAACGTATATATACGTGTCGAATTGAGAATCACCTCTGTTTTTTTGTCTGTTAAAAGATATCGGTCATTCTTAGATCAAACGTATGGTCACAGTTTTGGTCTCGGACCGGTCGACATCCGGCTTGTTTACTTTTTCTTTTATATCTCATTCCCTCACATTGAACGTCAACTATTCTATCAGAGCTTGATTGAAGATGTACCCTTAGCGTATTTACGAACGGATCGGGTAGTCTTGTGTGTGCTAATTTATTGATCGATTAGGATGATAAATAGACATCAGTGAAATCTAAAAGGTAGATATCGTATATCTTTCTACATTATACAAATGAGGGTTTAGTAATAGGTATTAG